CCCCCCCCCAAGTATGGAATGAATACTAAAATGGCATATGTCAGTCACTTAAAAAAATTGTTTTATCAACTTTAGGAAGAAGTAAGATATAGAGATAAAATGGCTTAGTATGAGTCTTGGAAAGAAATGAACCACTGATGGTCACAGAATTTTTCACTGTATAAATTTAATGGGTTAATGTAATGGAATTATAGAACAAGTGCTAAGTACTCTTCAACTATGTGTGCTTTAAAGTAATTGAGAAAATAACCATTTTATTTGTAATTTTTTTATTTCTCTTTCAGTTGGAATAACAAGCGTCCACTAACTGCCACATAAAGCCATAGGAATGTTTAAATACTTGCAAAATACTGGCTCAGTTGACTTTTTTGTATTCATTAGGAAGGGAAATAGCTCTTCTAGGTGACAACCAGACTTGTTACAATATTGTTAAACTGATATAATGCATTTTTTCCAGAGTGGTAATACTCCACAATACTGTTTAGTCAATAATGCAGATATTTTTGATTTGCAACTGTTTTGTTAATGATTGCCATTCAAAAATTTAAATATTATCTGCATAAAATCTGACTCATCAAAATGAAGGAATTTTACAACCCACAGACTTTATGTGAGTATACAGTAGAATGTCACTGGTGTTTTTAATTGTTGTTTTTTTAATTTTTCTGTTGCAGTCGAAATCAGCTTTCTTCTTTGCCACCTTGCCTGTGTGGTCTTCCTCTAAAAGTCTTAATTGCAAGTAACAATAAGCTAGGTTCCCTTCCAGAAGAGATAGGTCAGCTAAAACAGTTAATGGAACTGGTATGTTACTGATCTCTTTTTATTTTGTATTTTGACTTTGTCTGTATTTAACTAGAAACAGTAAGATTCACTTTGCGACTATATTTGAACAAATGCATAATACTATAATGCAGGTTAAAAAGTTAACTTTTGAACTTCTTAAGTGTGTTGGGTGGTAACACAATAATAGTTTCCTTTATGTTCCTCAGGTCCCTTCTAAAAAACATCACCGCTCTTGATTCATTCAAAACTCAGCTTCTAAGTTCATCATCTTTACCAGTTTTACTCAGCACCTGCACTGGCTCCCTGTTTTGCTGTCTCAAGTCCCCAGTTCTGGCATCAGGCTCTGCAAAGCTGTATCCCCGCTGTAGCGCTCTCCCTCTGTGCTTCCTTTTTCTCTTTTATTAATATCTGCTTACTACATTGCATTCCACTAGTGATATTAATCTTCTCATTCTATTTTCATTTTATTTCACTATTTTTGTCATGCACCGTTCCTTTCTTGGAACACTTGTCTAAACAGATTTACAAAATGATTATATTCCTCTTGTTTTCAAAGCTGTCCACATGACTACTGTTTCTGCAATCGGTAGATCTTCTGTAATATATTGTCTAATACATGAGAATCTGAAAAAGGCAAAAATTATTAGGTTACCTTAACTTAAAATTAATTTAATTGCACGTTTTTTTTAAAGTTCGTAGGTGGAAAATGTATGTCAGAGAATGCTTCCCTTTCTCCCGTTATCTTCCTCTTTTGTGTATTGCAGGCTGAGACTCTGAATTCTCTGTGGCATATGTGTTAGGTCTTCTGGTTATTTCTGTTCACCTTGACCTCTTAAGATACAAATTGACAAATAAACTACATTTTGACACTGCTAATTTATCCGTAGTAAAAGTAGTTCAACATAGTTGAACTTTTTTCTGACTGCTGATACCACCATTGGCTGCATTTATCGTGCACATCTTTTTGGTATCTGAAAGCGTCTGCTTATCATATTATTACTTTTCTAACAGTAGTTTCTCTGCTGAATTATGTTACAGAAATTGAGCTGACCTTGCTTTAGGCCCCAGTCCTGCTACTGCTTCTTCATGTGTGGAGCAAAGTGGCAACTGTGGGGCTTTTTTCCTTCTGGTATTCTTTTTGTACAGCATCCTGTGGTATCAGGCTTCTATTATGTATTACAACTGATTTGGCTGTTGGTGAGGATTGGGGGTAGTTACCTTTTCCTTTCTGGGTTATACCTGAGCTAAAGACTACAAAGTTTGCTTTGTTTTGTGAACGTTATTATATCTTATCAAGTGTGTGTGGGGGTGTTGTGTGTGTGTGATGGGTTTAATTAGATTACTGAAATGGTTTTGATTTAATTAACCTTAAAAAAAAATTTTAGGCTACAGCATTGTTTCTGTTGTGCTTAAAATAGATTCAGTAAAAGATCATGGTTCCAGTTTTATATGTAATTAAAGTTGAACAGTATTAAACACATCTTCATTTAGGGGATAGGATGACTGATTAGGTAATAAAGATTGGAAGCTACTTAGCTCTTGATTGCTTCTAGTTTAAATGTAGCCTAGTTTAGTGGTGGGGGGGCTCATGTGAAATAGTTGAAAGACTTGGTCTGATTCTGTCTGGTCAAAATCACCTGTTTTATTTGTATTAATTGAGGTCTGTGATAATATTTTCAGTAAAGAGCTGCTGAAGTGTTTTCTTATCTAATTTCCCCTCCAATTTCAAGTTTGAACCCCCCCAGTAAGATGAACTAGCATTGCTGATGCTGGAAGTGTTTCATTTGTTAGTATGAGTTTGTACTTAATAGTAGCTCTTACCCTTACTTCAGACTTTGGAAAAGTTAAAAACTAAAAGCTTGAAAATCAATGTAGATTATACTGAAAGGAGATAGGGTTTGTTTTTTTTAAACAAATCATATGTTTAACTTCTGGAATACTGGATTTTCATATTGCTTTCCAGTTACAGTATAATTTTAGTGTTACTCTTTGTCACAAAACCCACAACAATTTCTGCTCTAAAAATATTTCAAATGAGTGGCCATAGCAACATGTCACTTTGGTAGCCTAGAAGAATTATGAAAGCTGAAGAAGGTGCTTGTTCTTTGTGATTAGAAGCAGGGATGAAGTGACTAACAGGGTTTTGTTAAATTGGGCATGGTGTTCTGTTCAGATGACCTGATTACTTAGTTTGATGCCACTGTAAGCGTTTGGTACATTTCCAGTGAAATGAGTTGCGTTATTTAGCTGGAAATGACTAAATTCGCATGTATTAGGAGAAGCGAACAGTGGTAGGATTGAGAGCCGGTATCTGTATTGGCATATATAATATAATGCATTTTAGATAATAAGGTGATCATTGTTCTAAAATGAGTAAAAAAAAATAAAAATAAAAGATTAAGTCATGCTGCAGTTGTTGCACAAAACATTCAGCTGTGTGAACGCAATGCCAGCCTTCAAGCGACACCACCACCCAGCCTCTGGCAGGGCGTGCTGTTGTTTTGGGACATACACAGTGGTGGTGCTGAGCTGGCCCAGAGGATCGGTCCTGAGACGTGCCAGATGCCACCTGACTCTATTCAGTTGTTGTATTACTAGGACTTTGCCAAGCACCCTCAGTTTTTCAAAGTGTTTTACAGCTTTTCACAGGCTGCATGCAGTAAAATCTGCGTGTACATAGCAAACAGATTTTGCATAACTTGATTTGCAGCTGCATAACTTGATCATACCTCATACTGTCAGCCAGGAGGATGGGTGCAGATAAGCTGAACTTTACTTTCCATCGAAGAAAAGTAATTGGGCAGAGATGACTCATTAACTGCACCCCAAATTATCAGATGTATAGTAAAAATCTGTTCTTCATCATATCAGGCAGTATTATACTTCTGCCTTCTTCAGGGAACAGATTTCTCCATCCCTGGGGTGCTCCTGTCTCATGTTGGAAGCCTTTAAATCTCTCAGCTGGGATTTAGGTCCTCACCTCATTCATCTGATCTGGGCCAGCAGACTGACCAAATGGGACCTGCTGCCTTCTATTTCCTAAAAGGATCGATGTGCTTACTCACCATGTAACTTCTTTTTACCATTCAGTGTGGCTTATATGTCACAGGCTCTGAGGGAATCCATGTAGGAATAGCAGCTCAGTCAGGAGCCCTAAGTTTTAAAATGGAGGAGGTTTACCTCAGTTTGGATGAACTCCTATGTTTCAATAAATATGTTAATATGGAGCCAGAGTACTGTACTTGCTTTTATGTTTATATTATGGTGATTTTTGTTGGTTTAAATCTGTTTAAACTTTACTATAAACAAAAGAAAAACATTGATGGTTTTTACCTGTTTTCACACCATTGAAATCAATGCCACAGAAATCAATCTTTACAGAAATGTAAGGTGTATTTAAATTAATCTTGAGAAATTGTGTTGTCATGGCAGGATGAAATAGAATTAATGCAAGAAGTCAACAAACACTAGGCTCTGGAACTTGAGTAGGTGTTTGGACTTCAGTTGTCTACAGATGTCCAGGAAGTAAAGTTCCAAACTGCTGGTTGTCTAGTTCCTTCAAAAAATTACTAGCTTGAAAACCTAGGCATTTGACTTTGATAGTATTGCTTCCATTACTGTCAAAGGAATGGGAAAGATAAACACTCTCTCTGTCACATACACACTCATGAATTCTAATAACAGTCAAGACCCGAAGTATAACTAGCAATAATGTCATAGGTCTTTGTTTTGCACGGCTGTTCAAACAAAGTAATAAAAAAAATGTTGGATTGCAGTGTTTAGTAGGATAAAGGATACTACTGTCTCTGGCGATCTTGTAAATGCTGACATGCTGTCACAACAGATCAGTTTTATTGAGGATGTTTTGAAAGGTTATAAGCGGACTTTGTTTTTGAGGCTACACACTGCCAGGCTTTCTTTTTTCTTCACTTGCTTTAAAATTGTTTCTCTTTCCCAATAAGTACACTTGGTCTAGAGTTTCTCTGCCACAAGGTGACTTTAAATTTAATTTCTGTGCTCTAAAACTTGAGTATCTAATTATAAAGTTGTTTAAAGTCTGTAAATTAAAAATAGGACGGTAAAGCTTTAAAAATTAATGATCTGGGAACAGTGCAATTAACCATCCTTTGTGGCAACTTGGGCAAAAGATGCACTCATTAACTGGGATTATTAATTTCCTTGTCTAAAAGCTAAAATAATTTCTTGACTCTGTTTTGACATGGGAAGGATGCTTTGGCAACAGTGAAATTTTGTTACAAGAAGAAACTTGTCTGATACAGTGAGCAGCATTGCCAGATCACATTTTGCTTTTGCTATCGTTTTTTGTTAACTGGTATTTAGGCTTGAAGATAGAGGGTTAATGTAATGCTTTTGACTAGTATTAAAGCAGCTATCTTCAAAGAGATAACTGGGAAATCTAACTGACTTTCAGAAATTTTGTGTTTTGAGAGCTCCCAGATGCTGTATATAAATCCATTTGAAAAAGTCGAGAGGAGGACTGAACGTCCGAAAAGCGTTCAGTTGGCTATTCAGGAAAATTTGGCATTACCCTGCTTAGCTCTTATACTATGAAATATTGTTTCCTTTTTTTAACGCAGAAATGGGAGCATAATTGGGATATTATACAAATTTACAGGTTGCCTGGGATGTAAGTGGAGGTTTCAATGTCCTTTTAATTTCACGCTGAATATAGACGATTTGGCAGTAAAAATGATAGCTAGTGTCTGAAAACTATCTTGATTTAGACTGACTTGATCCAAGAAATTGATCTTTAGTACACGTTTGTGGCAGTTTCTTGTGAGCAATAGCGTTAAAGTATAGCATTTATTACAGCAATACTACTGTATATAAACTTGTTGCTTGAAATTATGCTCAGTATAGCCAGACCCTATACTTTCAACTCAACTTTACAGCAGTTGCTCCTTCAGGGATGCTGAAATGAGAATGGGTTGCATCCAGATTATTAAACCAGTTGTATTTAGTCATCAAAATCAGACCTACTTTGAACCTGTCTAGGCATTTAAGAAGTACCTTTTACAACAGTATGTTGAGTATCTCTATAATACTAAACAAGGCCTGTCTTATTTTATTATGGCCTACTATGTGATATGATAATCAAATATATGCCTTTTCTGAGCATCACTACAGAATGCTATTGCTATTTTATCTCTTTTTTTCTTATTCTAATTTTGCTTAAATATTCCCTCTAGAAGAATAAGAACCTTTTTAAAAAATCAGATCCATGCACTAGTAGTTTCACATTTAATCCAAACATTTTTTTGATTATATAATTATGCTGCTGAGTTCTTTATATGAATAAAAGTTAAGAATAAAAAGGTAGAACATGTTAAGCAAATGGTTTTGAGTGCTTCTATAGAAATTAAGTTAACTTTCAAAATTAACTTGTTCTCCAAATAGGAATTCGCTCTGGGTTTTAATTAATGTGTAAACATTATCTCATGTATCTAGTTTTGCATTGTGAAGACAGGACATAGATAGGTTGCATGTCTTCAGGTTAATAAAATGTTACAACAGAAATAGCAAATGAGCTACAATTTCACAGCTGTATTATTTATCATTTTGGAGCCAGAAGTTCATTATTTCTGTTATTACTGTTTTGCTGTAGGATGTCAGCTGTAATGAAATCACAGCTTTGCCACAGCAGATAGGCCAGCTGAAATCTTTAAAAGAACTGAATATCAGAAGAAATTACCTCGAAGTTTTACCCCAAGGTAAAAACAAACAAACAAAAAATCTTCATACCTTTACGATAGCTCTATTTATTAGCATTTTGAAAGTATTTTTTACTCATGTAAGTAAATATGATTAAAAAGTAGTAATTACGTTGTGTTCAAATTTATTCCATTTGAGTTTGCGGAACACAGCATTCAGTGGTACTCACTAAATAACATTGCATGAGGGTTTTTTGGTTTTTTTAATGAATTACCTTTATGATTCTAGGCATCTTTTAATTTGCACAAGTACTTACCAGTGAATGCAGTATGGGAACTGTCAGTTTCAGGGAAAAAATATGTTGAAGTATATTTATTTTAAAATTTATAGTCACTTGTATAACAATAACACTCTTTTCATTTCCCAGTATAGAATGGAATAAATGTTTGTCAAATTCCTGCCTGAGTTTGTTTCTTTTCCTGAATGCAAAAGAAGGTTTATTCAGAAATGTTTTATTATTTTATGGCAAAACCAAATACAGATATAACAACATCTCTCTTTTTTGTTACTTTTAGAACTAGTACAGCTTCCCTTGGTAAAGTTCGACTTTTCCTGCAATAAAGTGCTTGTGATTCCAATTTGTTTTAGAAAGATGGTGCAGTTACAAGTATTACTGCTTGAGAACAATCCTTTGCAGTCTCCACCAGCACAAGTAAGTAACATCTGTCATTTAATTTTGCCTTAATATTGGGTGGATGATAACAAATCGTAGCTTAAAATGTCACTTTCTGCAGTTGCAGGCTTCTGAACATCAGTCATAGAATTGTTTCAGTTGCAAAAGACCTTTAAGATCATCAAGTCCAACCTTTAACCCAACACTGCCATCCCACCACTAAACTATGTCCCTTCGCACCTCATCACAGACATTAGTTGTTGATGTATAAATAAGACACAGAAAGTATCCTATGTTCTCTGTATGAGTCTGTGCACCACTTGAACCAACGTGAGTCTAGAAGAGTTCCATTCAGTTAGCTACCTGTTTATTTTTGTTATTCCTGTCTGCATATGAAACTTAATGTTGGAATACGTATATAATTTTGACAAAGAGAATTGAGGAACTTCTGGATACATTTTCTCTCTGTTAGTAAGAACCCAGTTTTAGAAGGTTCTGTAGTGATTTACTATGAACTTAAAAACTATGCAGATGGCGTGAAATTCATTTTACTTCATAGTGTAAGTTTATAGATTGTGATACACAAAGAAATCAAACTCCTGTTCTGAACTGTAGGCCATGCTGAGAAATTATGGTAATAAATGAATGGAACCCGTGCTTGCTGCTTAAGGGCAACTTTGTTGTTGTTGACTTAGGGACAGTAGATTCAGAGTACGTTTCTGAAAGCTACGATTATTCTGGATCAACAGCTGTTGAAATACTTGAGAGTTTTTATTACATTGGAGAAATGCTTTTCATAACCAGTGGTGATGCTGCTCCTAAACTTAAAAAATACAGAGCAATTTTCAGCAAGCACTTGAGCTGGAAGTGTGCAGTTAAAGAAAAAAATTCTAAAATGCAGGTGAAATGCATCATAAAGATGCTTGGACACTATTAAAACCAATGTGACTAAGTCTATAAAGGACATGCTGATTAATGAAATGCCATTATTTACTAGTTTTGGAAAATAATTATTCAATTTACTGTTAGTAATAGGCCATACAATGTATTTTATCATAATTCTTTTTGAGTTAAAAGCTCATTTGATTTTTTTTTAAGTAGAATACATTCTTTTCTTGTTTTCTATCTTATTCTCTGAGGGTATTTATACTAGCAAACACAGATAATTGATGGGGTAACTGAAATGAATAAAATCCATTTTTCTTTATGCAGTATCTATTGTGTCGATAAGAGTTGGTTTTCAGGGAGTTGTATGCTAAGTGTCGTTTGGAATAAATTATTTCTTTCATTCTAGTTATAAACTTTTTTCTTGTCTAACAGATTTGTACAAAGGGTAAGGTGCATATATTCAAATATCTGACTGTACAGGCCTGTCAGATTAAAACAGCAGACTCACTGTATCTTAATGCCATAGAACAACAGCATTTACCACAACCCGTGGAAGAAAGGTATGTATGAAAATATCACTTAGTTTTTTCATGTAACACTTATGAACAAAGTGAAATAAATACATTTGTATCTTTAGCTTCCAGAGTTTTGTTTGTTTAGATGCTATTTATAATGTACTTTTTAAAAGAGGTTTGTTTTGCTTTAATATATTTTATTCTAGTGAAATCCCTACAACAGTTTAGAACAAAATATTTTTAAGAACCAGTTCTGATTCAAGTTAGCACATTAGGGAAGAGTGTGGAAGTGAACCTTAGTTGAAATTGAACCTCTTACTAGTGGACTACTAGAATATATTGAAAATAATTGAGGTGGTAGTATCATTAAGTGTTGGAACTTTCTTGTGAATCTATCAATGCATTAAATAAGTTTTAATTTCTTGTGTTGTTTTGTGATTTATATGTTGTTATGTATTTGTCTCATAGTTGTTTTAAGCTTTTGTTGTTCATCCAGAGGCTTATCCACCCAGCAAAGAGAACTGCATAAATGTTGAGACCCTTTTAAAGTGAAATGTGCTGATTTGTTAGCAAACATCTAGGAAATGTCATCTTGTGGTTTAAGGACAGGAACTAGATATGAAGCAGCTCCTTTTTATGAGAAACTCTACAGCTAATTGGAAAACCATGTTTTAGCCAGCTTTTTTCACTAATGTGGGAAATATAATATAACCAATCAGACAAAGTACAATAATACCCTATTTTTGGAGAAAAGTACTCAATGAAAAAGTGTTGATGTAAATAAAAATAGAGATGTTGCTGCTAACACCGGAAATAAAAACTGTTATGGAATCTCCCTGTCAGTCATCTAGATAAAGTTTCAAGCAAATTGCTTTCCTCCATGTATGTTTGGAGACACCTTTGTGGATTTCTGTTGGATAAATGTCCAAGGTGGGAAGAATCCAGAATGAAGAGCAAGTTTTCCATTTGGGAAACACCTACTGGCTTTTTGTTTTGTTCTTTTAGTATACAAGAAAACTGACAGGACTGTCATGTCCTGTATGACGTTTTGGTAATATAGGATCGTACAGGTTAGGGTAAGGAGATAGTACAGAGTTGGGTATCAGATGGTAACTAACAGCCTAAGGCTCTATCACATAATAATTACCAAATTTTTATTTTAGAGAATAACTTCAAAAGAAAAAGCATAACCTGGTTCGGATTTCCATGTGCAGTTTCTACACAAAATCCTTAGTGTTTACTAAGATATAATTTAAGATACTGAGAGGTAATTTAAGATTAGGATTAGTCAGATACCTTACTCATGTGAAGACTAATGAAGTTTTTTTTAAATTTCTGTGTCAATCTGAATTCAGGTTTACAGCTTTCAGGATTGCAAATGAAAGGATAATAAAGCATATTAAAAAAAAAAGGTGATGAATATATTGCATCGGGTAGTGTACTTTAAAATTAGTTGAGGTCATACTAGGTAATGAAACCAGAAGAGAGAGCAGTTGCCGTTATTATAGTCGTTTTCTTAAAAACCTAAATTCAAAGTCTATTTTAAAGCACCAGAAGAAGGTTTCTGTGCTAATGACTGCTTCAAGCCTCAGGGAAATATCAGTTCATTTTTAATGCATCAATGGTTACAATTAAATCAGTTGACTCCAGTTTGAGTTCAACTAGTTTAGTTGTTTTTCCCATGGCTAAATGACTTTGGTCAGACTCCTGTGCTACTTACACTAGGTAAAAATGCTTAGTTACTAGCTATAGACAAAAACAAGCTTTATACCAAATAGTTTGTGTTGTTTGTGTTAATCATTAGACTAACCAGCCATTCTATCCAATCTATTTTACTATCGCCAGACTGCAAATGTGTAGTTTTTAACCATACTAGGCTACTTCACCCTCTATCATTAAGAGTGGTTGGAATTTTGCTTTCGTTTAAGTGAAACCAGGACATAATTCTAATGGTAAATGCTATAATAGCTTTTTACTTTTTTTTTAAATTCACATCTAGCATTGATGACATCTACCCAAGTAAAAAGGACTCAGATTCAGGTGTTGGTAGTGATAACGGCGATAAACGTTTGTCAGCAACAGAGGTAAGTTGCCTGAATTTTGTGTCCAGCTCCCCTTCCCTCCGCACCCATAGTTTAAGTTGGGTAACAATGTGAATATGTTTTCAGCCGTCAGAACTGTGCAAGCACATCTTTGGCATGAATTTATCACTAAGAAATAGCTAAAACAAAGATAAAAGGAAATTA